CCTGCACCTTGTTGTCAAGGATGGCAGTTTCCTTTCCTATAGTACATTAGGGAAGCAGATGGGTTTTTCAACATTTTGTGGTTAACCCGTTCAGGTATGTTATTAAACCCTACTGCAGTGGATGGGACTTGAACCTCTTGTCTCAGAGGTAGGAAAGCTACCCCAAGAACCCTTGAATTTTTACAACAATGAATGACCAGATTTATTAATTTAATTTAAATTCCACCATCGGCTCTGATGGGATTTGAACCCAAGTCTGTTTTGAGCATTGGGCAGGTCCTCTGGATTACTGGTCCAGTGACATTTCCATTGTGATAGTTATAGATGAGATAGAAATTTGAAAAGGCAGAAACAGGGAAGATCCTGCCTTTAGATCATGCCTCTGACTGAGCACTAGGGGGCAACACAACAGTGGAAAATGTACGCAGCAAGATCCCATAATGGGACTCTCAAGGGATAAATGAAAGCAGAGAGCTTGCAAAACTACGTAGGCAAAAGGGAGTTGGAGAAAGTATAAAGATTAGTGCGTACAGTAGTTAATGCTCAAGTATATAGTAAATAAATTGAACAAAATAACTGGGGAAAGATGCATTAAAGATAAGGGGAGTTTAAGGATATAGGGGAACTCTGCCAATGTAACAAACTCATGGTCTGTTTAACATGTACCTTCCCCGGCAATAACTTCTTCCTTTATTCTCTCCCTCTAAGGCTCCTAGTCTCGCCTAACTTGCCCGCTGCGCCCTGTGCTTTTCTCTCAGACCTTTGCATCCTGCTTCTCCCTCAGTCTCTCCCCCACCTTCCCGCTGTGGAAATGGGCAGGTGCTCTTGGGGACGTGTTCCTCCTGTTACAACTCACCTCGCACTTAGAGAATCTACCGTCAGAGCAAGTTCCAATATTAACCAGCTCCCTCCCATCTTTTGCAGGGGTGGTTCGGGTTTTGCATATAGACATTCTCTCTCTCTCCCCACCCCCCCACCAAAAAAAGGCTAATGAGCGCTAATAACCTCCTGGTAGTGTCAATATTTAATCTCAGTGCCTGACAGGTGCACCTGTTAGGAACTGCTCTCCAGCACAGATGCCAGTGAAATCCAGTCTCCTGACACTCCTTTTGTCTCTTCGCCAGTGATAAACCGCTAAGGGGTGGGAAGGGGAAGGGTGTGGGGGGGGGTGCTGCTTTATAAGGGGCGGCTGGACTCTCAGACGAAGCCAGTCCCCGTGGCCTCTGCGCGACCGGTCTCCCAGCGCAGGTGAGTTCGGTTTGAACGCTACCTGCAAGATCAATTGCCTACGTGTCACTTAGAGACACCCGAATGCAGGTAAGAGCCATCTGTCGTCTCTGAAACTTCGCAAACTCGGGGCGGGGGGGGGGGATTTGCAATCGAAGTAAGGTTGATCTTAATTTCAGTGCAACAAAATATGTTTTGGTTTGCATGCGTGCAATTTCAATGCCAAATAATATTATGTGGGTTGCATTCTGGCAACCTTAATGTAAAATACTTTCTTTTTGGATTGTATGTGTGCAATTTCAATGCCAAATAATATTTTTTGGGTTGCATTCGTGCAATTTCAATGCCAAATAATACTCTGGAAAAGCAAGTCGACGTTTTTAAATTAACTTCTCCGCCCTCCCCCCTTTTGTAAGGCTGGAAAATAAAACACCGAGTCGGGTAGCATCTGTGGGACAAACATCTCCTCATCGGACAAGTATTTTGTTCTGCCTTTTCATGTTTTATTTTTGCAGCTATTGGAAATCTGAAGCGTGTTGCTTTTGCAACCTTTCTCTCTACATCTTTTGCATCGACTGGATTTCCATAAGCTTCTTAAAGAAAGTTCGCTGCAGAATTTGAGACTTGCTAACAGTGTGGGAAAAACAAGGTGTAGAGCTGGATGAACACAGCAGGCCAAGCAGCATCAGAGGAACAGGAAGGCTGACGTTTCGGGCCTAGACCCTTCTTCAGTAAAAAAAATTGGGAATAACAATGTGGGAAGGCATTTTGAGGGGAGAAAAACACTGCTGAATGTCCCCGGCGACTTGCCATTAAATTGAAAAGCGTGATATTTCCGGATGTGTGGGTGTGTATTATATAAATATTAAACATCTCCAGAACAATATACCACCATCTGTAAACAAACCAATTTTATTTCGGATGGGTGGGGTCACTTTTTAAAGGTAAAGTTCTGAAAGAATTGGGGACGAGTCAGTTTCAGAGCAGATATTTCAAATGGAATGAGTTGAGGGAATAGGATATGGAGTCTGTCTCGTAGTCCCTCGAATAAAATTGTTGCAATAACATTTTTTTGATGTCATTGAAACTCAGTCAACGGCTGAAGATTTATGATCGCTGTGACACAACTCATGGGTCGAGCGCCTCTTTAAGGCTGTTACTTTAATCTTCTAAAGTATGTACCGAACTTTCAATTTTTCTTTTCTGAAAATAATTTCTGAAAATTGCCCATTTTTGGTTACGTGTCTCCACCTGGATTCGAACCTGATCCACTGTAACCACCTCAGCCCTTCCCTTTCAACTTGCATTAGGATCATTTCCGTAACGTGAAGGCTCAAAGGCAGTTTTGTTTTCTGGGGAAGGTGAGAAAGAGGGGGAATGCGTAAAAACGGTGAAAATTTGAAACTGGTTTTAAACAATATACTTCGGGGTATCTTGCCTCGTTTCAGAATAAAGTAAACCTAAACTCTTGTCACTCTCTCTGTGTGTAGTTAAAAGGATTGTGATCAAACAGGGGCATTCAGCGCACCCCCCACCTCTCTGCCCTCCCTCTACAAAAGCCACGTCAGGAAAAGGAAGAGGAACACTTCAATGACCCGGGACAGTGGTGGGTCAGACACGGGACAGCTCAAGTTATAGATCCTGCAGAAGGCGGATGGAAGGATCTCCGGGAGACTGAAAGATTCCCTCGCCTCTCTCTCTTTCTCGCTGTTAATAGCTGGACGTTTATCCCCTCTCCTGGAAGCGTCTAGAGGAACCGAGCAAACTCTACCCCTGCCTGACGCCGAGCCAAACAAACAATACCTGTTGTAAAAGTTTTGTTCGTTCGGCTCGCGTTACGCAGGGGTGGTATATCTGCGGAGAAACCCCCCCCCCCCCAACACTTCCCTCCACCTCCCATGACCTTGCAGAGAATTGACCCTTGTACACACCAACCTTCCTACAAACCCAGCGATGGATGCTGAGTGGCAATGGATCTCGTGAAATGTCTTCACCACCTCAACAAGGTGACTGATCCCATATGTTCCATAACTTTTTCCATAACATAGCTTTTAAAGAAAGGGTCCTACCTTGTAAGACGATCAAAGTTGTACTGGGAAACGACTGGAATAGATTACAAATGTGATTGTGTTTCTTTTTCTTAAAAAAAAATAAACTTGGCAAATGTTGTCTTTTGTGCGAACTAGTGGAATAAACGAAAACCCCTTCCGAATTCCTTGTGTCTAGATGGAGTTGGCAAGACTGGAATTGTACAGGATCACAATTGTGAATAACCACTAGGTGTTTGGGGAGTTAGATCAATAAGACCGTATAATGTAGGAGCAGAAGAAGACCATTCAGCCCATTGATTCTGCTCTGATAATCCTCAGCTCCAGTTTCCTGCCATTCCCTGTTTCCAGAACCTGACCATTTCCAATTTTTGTTTTATTTTCTGGTTGGGCATATTCCCTGTTTAGAGCTGTTCCCCTCCCTGTTTTAGGAAATTGTACCATAATCCTTGATTGTGGCCTGACTTGTTCTGGATTCTGACCAGGCTGGTCCAATTTCCCTGTTTTTTTTTGGACCTGGCTCATACTCCTGGTTTTGAACTGGGCACAACCCCCTATTTTGGGATCATCTGAATGTGCTGAAAAGCTTTGACTGGACCTGTTTAGAGATTATGCCAACTGCTTCAGTTTTTAAACAAAATGCCTCTATGGGATGTGGATGTCATCGGCTGGGTCAGCATTTATTGCTAATCCCTAATTGTTCAGAGGGCAACTGAGGGAGTCATTTGGTTGTGGGTCTGGAGTCCCCCATAAACCAGACCAGGTAAGGATGGCAGATTAGTGAACCAGCTTTTTATGACAATCAACATTACTTAGTTATTCACCATTCCTGATTTTGAATTCAATTCAAATTTCATTATCTACTGTTGTAGGATTCGAACCCCTGTCTCCCCAGAACATTAGCTTCTTGATTGATGGTTCACTCATATTACCACTGTGCCTGTATATCCCGTAAAATTCAAACTCCTAACTTGCTCATTTCAGTCTAGGGACCAAAAGCACAGGCTTAGCAGCAGCCTACTAGCTTAGGATAGTGCATGGGGGAGGAGCACTGACTACCCTTATAGACTCCCAAATCCCAGTGATGGATGTAAGACACCAGGCCCCATTGATGACCTGGTTCAATTCAATGAGCAATTGGAACCCAGTGCATTCAGGGATTTGTGTGGCCCCAGGTATCAACAATTGCAATGTGTATTGATCTAGTGCTTCCAACATGGTAAAGTTGGAAGGCACCTCACTGGGCTGTGATCAAGCAACATTTGACATTGAGTCACATTAAGAAATGTCAACGCTGGATGGATTGTCCAAGAGGTAAGGTGTGTGTTAAAGGAGATAGGGACAGAAGGGATTTTGGAACTTAGAGCCTAGGTGGGGTGGTATTGAAAGCCAGAGAAGTGCAGCACCTTTAAATACTTGCAGATAATAGGTTAATAATGAGTAATATTGGAAAATTAATGGTTTTCTTGCAGAAGAGCAATGGAAGGTTAATCACCATTCTTCAGGCAGGAGGATAGTAGAGTCTAGTGGTCACTCCTTGGACCATTGTTTCATTTCGTTATTTTTATAAAACAGCTTACTTAGAAACTGAAATAGAATTTAAAAATTTGCTAATGATAGCAAACTCAAAGATGTGGCAAACCGATGATGGTGATAATTGACAGCAATAGGACATAGATAGGCCAGTAGAATGGACAGAAAAGTTGTAGAAGGAGTTCAATACACACATGAATTTTAGCCAAAATATGGGGAAAGGTATTTTGGTTTAATTGGTATAGGTCCAAAGAGTGTGCATGACAGAGTGATGCATGCACATTGATCTTTGAAGGCGCAAGATATATTGAGACAATAAATAACAAAACAAATAGGATCTTAAGCTTCATAAATGGATGTATTGACCTTCCATCATGAGGTGGGGATGTTCACTGATAATTGCACAATGTTTAGCACCCTTTGTGACTTCTCCGATAATGAAGCAGTCCATGTGCATTAAGGTCTGCACAAATACAGGCTTGGGTTAGCAAGTGGCAAATAACATTGCCTAGCACATGTGTGGTGGGAATGATCACCTCTAACAAGAATCTACCTATTGCACCTGACTCTCAATAGCTTTACATTCACTGAATCCCCCACTATCAACATCCTGGGGGTTACGACTGGACTCGCCATATAAACACACTGGCTGCAAAAGCACATCAGAAGCTAGGAATTCTGCAGCGAGTAACTTACCTCCTGAGTCTCCAAAGCCAGTCTACGATCTGTAAGGCACAAGTTAGGAGTGTGATGGAACACACTCAACTTGAGTGCAGCTCCAACAACACTCAAGAAACTTAACACCAACCAGGACAAAGCAGCTATCTTGATTAGCACCACATCCACCATCCTTAACATTCAGTTCCTTCACCTCTGACGCCCAGTAGGAGCAGTCAGTACCATCTACAAGATGCACCACAGAAACTCACTAAGACTTCTCCAATGGCACCTTCCATGCCCATAACCACTGATATCTTGAAGGGGAACAGATACCAGGGAACTCCATTATCTTCAAGTGCCCCAACAAGCCACACACCATCCTGACTTGGAAATAGATTGCCGTGCTTTCGGTGTTGCTGGGTCAAAATCCTGCAATTCCCTCCCTAACGGCATTGGGGATGTACCCCTAGGATTGCAGTAGCTCAGAAAAAGGCAGAACATTTTCTCCAGGGCAATAAATACTGGCCCAGCCAATGATGCCCATATCCCAAGAATGAATTTTTAAAACTTACAAGGACGGGGTAGTTATGCTGAAGCTTCACGTAGCTTTGATCAGACCACAACTACAGTAACCATGACCAGTTTGGATAACTGCACTTCAGGAAGTGTGTGAGCCTCTTTGAAGACCCATGGAGGAGATTTAGCAGAATGCCTTCAGGGATGGGGGGAGCTTAGTTGCAAGGTTAGGTCGGAGAACTGGGGTGAGGGAGTGGCAGTTCTCCTTGGAGCAACGGAGATTGTAGTGAGATTTGATCGAGGTATACAAGACGATGAGAGGCTTAGATAAAATAAACAGAGCAACCCTGTTCCCATTGGCTGATTGTGCAAAGACCAGCCTACACAGATTTAACATTTTGATCAGGAGTTTCGGGGAGAGATGCTGAGGAAAACAATTTGTGTATGCAGCGATTGGTAACAACCAAGAACCTGCTGTCATTGAGGTGAATGATTGCAATAGGAAATTGGAAATGAATTTGGGGGAAACAGACTTGCAGGAGCCAAGAATAGACTGGGGTGGGGTATGGGTGTGACTAGAATACATCACAGAGAGCTGGCATAGATGTGATGGATTGAATGGCCTCCTTCTGTGCTGTAATGATTACCGAGTTAACATGTTCTCAAGGGGACAAAAAGCCTACATGCACATTTAAATCCCAAAATCCTCAGATTCCACCTGGTCTTGTTTCTGTATAATCCTGCCAATCAATGTCTATACAGTGAGAAACATTTAGAGGAAGAGCGTATGATTAATGGGCAAGTTGTACATTAGAACATAGAACATTGAACATAGATCAGTACAGGCCCTTCGGCCCACGATGCTGTGCTGAGCTTTTACCCTAAACCTAAGGTCTATCTAACCTCCACCCCTACCTTATACTATCATCCATATGCCTATCTAATAGCTGCTTAAATGCCCCTAATGAGGCCGACTCCACTACCCTCTCCGGCAATGCATTCCACGCCCCGACCACTCTCTGAGTAAAGAACCTACCTCTGACGTCTCCCCTATATCTACCTCAACTCACTTTAAAACTATGCCATCTTGAAATAGCTACTTCCACCCTAGGAAAAAATCTCTGGCTGTCCACTCGATCTATACCTCTGATCATTTTGTACACCTCTATCAAGTCACCTCTCATCCTTTGTCGTTCTAAAGAGAAAAGCCCTAGCTGTCTCAACCTTTCCTCGTAAGACCTTCCCTCCATTCCAGGCAACATCCTGGGAAATCTCCTCTGCACCTTTTCCAACGCTTCCACATCTTTCCTGTAATGAGGTGACCAGAACTAGACACAATACTCCAGATGTGGCTGAACCATGCTTTTGTATAGCTAGAGCGTAGCTTCACGGCTCTTGAACTCAATCCCTCTATTAATGAAAGCTAACACACCATACGCCTTCTTAACAACTCTATCCACCTGGGTGGCAGCTTTCAGGGAACTGTGGACATGAACCCCAAGATCCCTCTGCTCCTCCACACTGCCAAGAATCTTTCCGTTAACCCTGTATTCTGCTTTCAAATTTTTCCTTCCAAAATGATTTTTTTTATTTTTGAACTTTTATTAAGCAGGCAACTCTTATTTGTTCTGTTGTGAGGTTTAACTTGAAACATTCAGATGTTAAATCAATTCATCAGCACAGATATGGTGGGCCAAAGTGCCTGTTCCTATGCTGTACTGTTCTATGTTCTATGTTCATAATGTTGCATTTGGAAGCATCAAATGTTTTTGACATCCAACCTGTCATAGCAGGGTGTGCCATTTACCAGATGCAGTGTTGCAACTTATCACAGTCTCTTTGACAGCACCTGATTCATTAATGTCTTGTAGAGAAGGAAATATGTTATCTTTACCTCATTTGGCCTACGTGTGATTCCAGTTTTTTTAAAAAATTCAGTCATGAGACATATTGCCCATCCCTAGTTTCCCTTTAGAAAGTGGTGGTGAGCTGCCTTCTTGAACTGCTCCCATCCATGTACTGTAGGCAGACCGACAATATTGCTGGGGAGGGAATTCCAGTAATTTGAACCAATGACACTGAGAACAACGATATATGCCCAGTGTGGCATACATGAGACCCCAGACCCACAACAATGTTGTCCACTCTAAACCTACCCCCGTCAGGGCACTTAAGGCTAGGCAATAACTGCTGATCCTGCCAGCAACACCTACATCCTGTGAATGAATTTTTAAAAGTTCTGTAGTCAATTTATATGCTCTTGTAGACAGCAATGAAACAATGGCCAAATTTTCTGTTTCAGCGATTGTGGATGATGGGTAAATACCGACCAGGATATCAGGAGGTCAACATCAGGGTTATACTATGCATTTTTCAGTGACCTGAAGTGTTCACTCCATTTCTCGCCCTACT